CATGGCGCACAGCTCCTGGCCCCCCAGCTCCTGGAAGGCCTTGCCCACGGGGGGCAGCCGGTACTGGTGCTCCGTCCACAGCAGCCACTTCTGCACGTGGCCTGGGCTCCAGTCCACGGGGTCTGGCAAGAGACACGCCTCAGCCCAGTGAGGGCGCTATGGGAACGTGGCCCCTGTGCCCGGCTGGCGCGCCTGGTGAGCGGGGAGCTTGTGGCCCAGAGCCATGAACTCCGGGGGGGGGGGGGGGGGGCGGGGGGCGGCAGGACAGGAAGGCCCTCTTGAGAGGCCCTGTGGAGGGGGTCCCCAGGAAGAGTGTGGGGTGAGAGGGAGGGACTTCTGTGCCTCCCACATCATCCAGATCTTGGGTTCTCCAGACACCGCCAGCCCCTCCAAAGGGCCTTTTGGGGAGCTCCTTCCCTAGCTGCCTTTGCCTTCCCCAGACCCCTCAAAAGAACCAGAGAAAAACCCAACCAGAAATTAATCTTATAACCCCAACCTCCAGCCCCTGCTTATTTTACAGATGAGGAAACTGAGGCACAGGGAGTCCCATCTCCTTTTCCAACCCCTCACAAGGGGCTGGGTGCATAGTAGCTGCTCAGTGCACATGCAGTGAATGAATTACTGAATGAATGAATGAATGAATGGCAAGGGGCAGCTACCTGACTTAGCGGCGGGAGGGAGTCACCGGCTGCCATGGGGTGAGCCTGGCAGGGCATGTGGGCAGAGGCCAGGCCGGTGGGCATGGTCACAATGGGGTTCCAAGTGAGCACTGGTCTCAGCTGCTGCCCCAGCTGGGTGACCTGCAGCCTGGGCTGCCCCCACTTGATAAGCCCATTTTCCTCTTGAGGGTCAAAGCCATTTGTTTCTGTCCCCATTGTTCAGAGGGCAGGCCCCTCCCCCAGCCAGTGTGGGAGTGATGCACCGTGGGAGACCGCCCTGGGAGGCTGGCTGGGCGATGGGCAGATGGAGGGCAGGGCATTGGCAGGAGCTACCCTAAGAGGGCATCAGTTGGGGGTCGGGGTCGGGGCGTGGCCCAGAGGACTGCTGGGGGGAGGGGCTGGCCTGAGGGCGGCCTGGGGCCCTTGTGGGAAAGTACCACCACGTGGGATGCTCATATGCCAGGGCCCACGGCCAAAGAGGTGGGGCGGCCCCCCCAGAGCGGCAGGGGTGAGGGAGGGACAGGCGGGAGAGCCGCAGCCCCTCACCCACAGCGTCAGCTCCAGGGCTCCCTCCCAGGCCTGGCGGCCCTCTCATGCCCAGCCTCCTGCCGTTCCCTCCACACTGGACCTTGTCGCCCCTGGACCAGGGACCAGCTCCCTCACTCTAATCAGCTTCGCACTGAATCCCCGCAGCCAGAGCGGGGCCTGTGAAGTTATTGTTCCTGAGCATCGATTGGGTACAAGGTGCCATCCGAGGACCCGGGACGTGGCAGTGAACAAAACAAGGGACAATCATGCCCCCTGGGTGTGAACATGCCGGAGGGGGAGGAAGAGAGTGAACGAGGTAAAGAACGGAACGCGCGCCCGCGAGGCTGTCTGGGCTGTGAGAGAAACGCAGGCCGAGGAGCGGAGGTGGGGTGCGCAGCGGCTCCAGCAGAGGAGTCAGGAACGGCCCCGGCAGGGGGCCCTTTGAGTAAGACATGAAGGCGGTGAGGGGTGAGCCACGTAGATATTGGGGGGCAGCGTGCTCGAGGACTACCAGCCGGTGCAAAGGTCCCGGGGTAAGTGTTGTGGGAACAGCGAGGAGGCAGGTGTGGCGGAGGGGAGCATGGCGATGGGTCCGAGAGGGAGTGGTGGGCCAGATGGTGCCGAGCTCACATTCCCTTCGTCCGCGCCCCCCGAGGCGGACTCCCGGCTGGTGCCGCTGGCTCCACGGGGTCGCAGCCATGCAGTCCCCGCTCACAGGCTCACAGGCTCCCAGCTGTGTGAGGGCTGCCCGTGTGGGAAGCACCAGCATCCCTGGGGCTCCCTGAGACCCCGCCGGGGTGCCCCCACCCGCCCCGCGACCTCAGCCACCCGCCCCACCTCGCGGGGCCGGTAGCAGCGTGCGCGGGGAGGGGCTCACCTGCCGTGATGTTGAGCAGCTTGCAGGCCGTCTCAATGTCCTTGAGCACCTCGCCCACCACCATGGACTGCACCTGCTCCAGCGAGTGCTCCTCCAGGCTCAGCCCGGCCGGCCCCAGGTCCAGGCTGCCCCCGGGCGCTTGGCTGTCGATGACCGGGCACTGCTCGGGCTCCTCGGGCGGCTCGTCCCGGCTGCCGGCCCCGGGGCCCTTGGTGGCCCAGCTGCTGTCGTCGGGGTACAGCATGTCCAGGCAGGAGAGGTAGAAGGCAGACAGGCCCTGCTCGGGCGCGGCCGGCGGGCTGGGGCTCCAGTCCCGTCTGTCAGGGCCCAGCGCCCCGGCCGTCACCTTCTCCGGGGCCGCCCGCAGCACGGTGTTGGGGGACAGAAGGAGGCGGCTGGGGGGCAGGCTGCTCAGGCTGGGGCTGGCGCTGCCCATGCCACTGCTGCTCGGGCCAGCGGCTGTGTCTGCAGAAACAAGAGAGGAAGGAGTCAGGTCCGCTGCTTTCCACCCCCATGGGGCCGCTAAGCTGGTTACCGGGATGAGGGCCCCAATGGGCATGGCTGGGCCTGGGAGAGAGGCGGCTTCGGGTCACTGGGCAGCGAGGACGGGGCTGAGGAGGACAGTGAGAGGGGTTGGGGCAGGATTGGAAGGGGCCAGGCACGGGCAGCACAGGTCTTCACGCGTGTGCTGTGCTTTAAAACCGCCTCTGGTTCCTGGCCTCCTTCAGGCCTCACAGCGGAAGACACGATTAGTCCCATTTGCCAGATGAGCAAACTGAGGCCTGGACAAGGAGCCTTTAATGACTAGCCCTCCGTTTCCCCTCCAGCCCACACCCAGATCCCAGACCCTGGCCTGTGGCGGAAGCTCCTTCTGAGAGCTAACCTAGATCCTTCCTGCCACTGCAAAGCTTGTTTCTTTTTTTCTTTTTCTTTTTTAAAAAAAATATATTTTATTGATTTCTTACAGAGAGAGATAGAGAGCTAGAAATGTCCATGAGAGAGAAACATCGACCAGCTGCCTCTTGCACACTCCCTACCGGGGATGTGCCCGCAACCAAGGTACATGCCCCTGACCGGAATCAAACCTGGGACCTTTCAGTCCGCAGACCGACGCTCCACCACTGAGCCAAACCAGTTTCGGCTTTTTCTGCTCTTGAAGGAAGTTGGGAAGGGAAAGGGTCACCATCATCTTTTTCCCACCACCATCTGCATCAGCCAGGCGCAGGAGGAGAGGGGCCAGAGAGGGTGGGGGGCAAGTCCCTCACACGCTGGGCAGGCAGCCCCTCTCCTTCCCACAGGCCATTTGGGGGGGGGGGGTGTGAATCAGTTCCCAGCGTGAGGCTGATGAGTGGTCAGTGAGTAACATAGTGCGCTTGGCCCCTGCTCAGGGCTGGCACCTCCCCCACACACCTGTCCTCCCCTCAGAGGTGTTGCCCCAGGGCCCCTCCTCTTCCGGGCACTGAGGTGGTGCCCACATGCTGACCTGCAGGCCCACGTTCCCGGGCAGCGGGGGCCGGTGAGTAGTCCCCCTCCGCCCTGTGGCCCCAGGGCCCCCAGGGCAGCAGCTGGAGCCCCCTCCCCCTGCGAGCCCAGGCCCTGTCCCTGAGCCGCGGGCTGGAGTGTGTGGTTTGGGCGACCAGGGCCCCGGAGACAGGGTCAGACACCAAACGGGGGTTTGGGGTATGTCTGTGACGTGCTGGCCCAAGACTGACAATTGAAATAACAATAAGAAATCCCAGCAGCGGTGGGAGATCACCAAGTACAGGCTCCCCGTGTACGGGCCGCCCAGGGGGAAAGGAGCGGGGGACCTGCCGGGTCGCTGCCCCTCGGGGCGCTGCCGCCTGAACGCAGAGGCTCGCCGGCGACCCGCCAGCAGCGCAGGGTCAACGGCTGAGGAGGCGAGTCCTCAGGCCCAACTCAGAGCCGGGACCCCAGGGCGGGGATCTCAGGGCCAGGACCCCAGAACCGGGACCCCAGAGCCGGGACCCCAGAGCCGGGACCCCAGGGCGGGGACCTCAGAGCCGGGACCTCAGAGCCGGGACCCCAGGGCGGGGACCTCAGAGCCGGGACCCCAGAGCTGGGACCCCAGGGCGGGGACCTCAGAGCCGGGACCCCAGAGCCGGGACCCCAGAGCCGGGACCCCAGGGCGGGGACCTCAGAGCCGGGACCCCAGAGCCGGGACCCCAGAGCCGGGACCCCAGGGCGGGGACCTCAGAGCCGGGACCCCAGAGCCGGGACCCCAGAGCCGGGACCCCAGGGCGGGGACCTCAGAGCCGGGACCCCAGAGCCGGGACCCCAGAACCGGGACCCCAGGGCGGGGATCTCAGAGCCGGGATCGGCCGGGGGAGCGGTGCCGTCCACGCCCCGTGGGTGGTCCTGACACGCTGCCCTCAGAGCAGCTGGCCAGTCGGGGGCTGGGGCTGCCCTGTTGCTGCATTGATGTGCCCTGCAGTGTGGGGACTCCCTGGGCCCCGCTGGCCGGGGGAAAAGCACCCGGTTTGGGAAACACTCGGCTTCTCTGGGGCCGCAGCCAGCCCGCTCCCACCTGCCCAGCTCGCTGCGCTCAGCTCACTCGGGGGCCATGGCTTCTCCCTGGGGCTTGGCTGGGCGAACGCACCGGGGACAGTGTCCCTCCGTCCGTCCGTCCGTCCGTCCGTCCGTCCGTCCTGCGCGGGCCCAGCCTCCCAGCCTCCCAGCCTCCCCTGGCAGCCCCGCCCCTGGCCGTGGCGGAGAGCATGCCAGCAGAGAGGGCGTTCCCTCTGACTTCGACGCTCCCTTCAGGCTCCGCTAAGTGACAAGGAGGAAAGGTCAGGGGCTGGGAGGGCGGGGGGGGGGGGCAGGCTGCGGGGGACAGAGGGCAGGCCTGGAGCCGTCCAAGTCCTCCGTGCAAACACGCGTGTGTGCCGTGGGCCCCCGTTGTTTGCCCAGGCAGCACCCACAGCCTGCTGGGCCGCAGGTCCCCACCCCGGCCCGGGCCCACGCCCTGCCCCACGGTGACCCCGCCCCTGGAGAGCCCCCTCAGCTCCCCCCTCCCCGTCACCCCCTGCCTGCCTCCCGCCCCATCCACGTCCCCAGAACGCCCAGGCCTGCCACGTTAGGGCAGTTTCTGCCAGCACCCGGGCCGCGGGCCAGGAGCCGGAAGCTTTTCCAAGAACAGGAGCCCTGGCCGGTGTTTGCTTGGCCTCGGCCGCGGGTAGGAGGGGAGCCGCGGCGGTCTTGGGGGCCCGTGGCACGGGGTCAGTGAGGATGAATGGCAGGGCAGGCGGCGGTGTTTGCCGGGCGGGGACCTGATGACACGCTCCTGACAGGTTTGCGGAGGGAGCTGTGCACTCGGTCCTCCCCGCCCCGCCCGGGAGAGGCAGCAGGGCCCCCCTCAGTCCATCTGTGGATGCGCAGGTCCAGGTGCAGCTGAGGAACCTGGCCCGTCTTCCGGCTCCTGCCCCGGCCCTTTGCCAGAGAGGGCTCCTGCCTCCCCCACCCCATGCCAGCTCCCCATCCTCTTGCCCCTGAGCCCAGGAGCCTGCTTGCGGCCGGAGCTCGGGCCCAGCGCCCCCCTCCCCAGAGAACATACTCGCTATTAAGAAGCCTTGAGCCTGGCGGGTTTGGCTCAGTGGATAGAGCGTCGACCTGCAAACTCAGTGGTCCCAGGTTCGATTCTGGTCAGGGCACATACCAGATTGCAGGCTCAGTCCCCAGTGGGGAGCATGCAGAAGGCAGCCGATCAATGGTTCTCTCTCATCATTGATGTTTCTCTCTCTTTCTCTCTGTCTTCCTTCCTCCCTGAAATAAATTATATATATATATATATATATATATATATATATATATATATATTTTTTTTTTTTTTTTTTTAAAGAAAAAGAAAAAGAAAGAAACCTGGAAAGCAAGAGAAAGGCCTGCTCCCTTACAGGAAAGCCCCCAGGGGCCCAGGCCTGGGGCACGTTGGCCTGTGGTCAGGGCGTCAGGAGGGCGTGTGCCCAGCCTGCAATCCCGGCCTCTCCCGGGCACCGCCGGCCTCGGTGGGAAGGGAGAACTGCAGTGAGCGCCTCTGCCCACAGCGTCCACGCATGTTCCCCCCTTCACTGCCCACAGCCTGGGTGCCGTTGGTGGGAGCCCCGTTTCTAGACGCTGACAGAGAGGCTCAGGGAGGCCAGGCAGCTGCCCGAGGAGCTGCTGGCCACGGGGCTCTGCTCTCTCCGAGGCTCTGCCGGAGGGTTCCCTCGCCCTCCTCCCAATGGGCAGCTTGATCTGCAGAGTCCATCCCCACCTCCTGAGCTCTCATTCCTCCCCGTCAGGCTCCTCTCTCTCCGTCACCCTCTCATCAGGCACCCCTGCCTCAAGGACCTGCCATGGCTCCCACGGCCTGTCCTGCCTGGTCCCACAGGCCGGCGCCCACCTCTGGGCCCACAGCTGCCCAGCCCGGCGAGCAGAGCGGGAAGGGGGCCTGGACTGTGTGACTGTGTTACAGGAGGGACAGCAAAGTGGAGTGGGGGAGGGGCTCATTGCTGGTTGTGGCCGGGTCTGGCTCAGACCAGGGCCAATGGGCACATCAGGCTCCCCTGTGCTGTGGGCAAGGCCTGCTCTTCTCTCTTGTGTTGCTGTCCCCTTGCCCAGGCTGCCCTCTCCTTCTCATCACAGCTCAGCCTGAAGCCCTCCTCCCCCAGGAAGCCTTCCCAGCACTCCCCACCGATGCCATGCAGTTCAGCCCTCATTACATTCACCAGGGACCGTGTTACTGAGGAAAACGAAGCTCGGCGAGTGGCAGGGACATGCCCGTGGCCACACAGCGGAGCTGGGACCAGACCAGAGGCCTGTGACCCTCAGCCGCTGCTCCCCTGGCCTCAGACCTGAGAGAAGACGGTGCTGCCAGGCCCAGGTCCCTGGACAGCAGGCGCAGCCCTCCCGACAGCCTCTGGCCCAGGGCTGCCGTCTCCCGAGCGATGCCGCCCCTTCCCAAACCTCGCGCTGATCTGCTGGATTAAGGCTCAGGGTGTCCTGGCTCCCGGAGGCTTTGGCTCAGACTCCAGACAAAGAAACGTTGGTAACAGCTGGTGGAGGCCAGGGCCCAGGGTCAGGGCCAGGCCGTGGGGCAGTGGCCGAAGGGATTAGCCACCTACGGACCCTTCGCTCAGCACTCCTCCCGCCCAGGAAGACAGATCGAGGGGAGGAGGCCAGGGACCCAGAGTCTGTTCCTAGCAGCTGTTCCTGCCACCCTGGGCCAGCCCTCCCCCTGGGGGCCAGGTCCTCACTCCCACTCCCTCCTGGTGTCGAGAAAGATCCCCTGATGTCTCCGAAAACAGCCTCAGGGAAGTGGTGTGACCAGGCGGTCTGCTCCTAGGCCTGGGCTGTCCTGGGGAGGGAGCCTCGCTCCACATTCTGCCCAGGCCCCCAGGAGGACTGAGAGGGGTTAATGTGCCAGATCCCCACCTCCATCCT